CTCCGACCCTGATTTTCCCCATTTGAAAGCATGTAAAAAAATGTAGATCTACGTTCGGAGCTCCCCGCACATGGACGTAGATCTACATTTGGACAGTTTAAGGGTTAATTTGATTTCCATTATTTCTTAGGGGAAAATTAATTCAACTAACGATAATTTCGTCTAACGATGAGCTCTATGGAACGGATTAATATCGTTGGTTGAGGGTCCACTGTACTGAAAAATAAATGAATACAAGTTCATCTTATCAATACACGTACAGTACTGTACGATGGTGATATTTTGACTTTACAGTGGTGTGATAGCACCATTGTAAAGTCAAGCCATTGTAAAGCAAGGAGTATCTGTATACCACATTTAATATACAAATAACCCAAACATAGGAGAGAGGAGCTTACGACAATGCTTCGGTCTAACTTGGACCATTTACAGTCACACTAACAGGAAGGAGAGGAGGGAGAGAGTATATATAGGCCAGAAGACAGGGATGGGACAAGAGAGGTAGTAGAGGAAGCTGAGAAGTATAGTAATGGGCCCCTAGCAAGGGAGCTAGGGGCCCACAAAGGGTAGGAACAAGAACACAGAGGAGGAAAAATATACAAATAAAATAATAATAAACAATAATAGTAATGGACCAAATACCCAAGGTTGAAGAAAGAAAGCCCAAAGGAGAAAAAGGAAAGGGAAAGAGGGAGAAGGGGAAGCAAGAATCAGGGTAAGTCACAGGTGTTCTGAAGTTTGGAGCATTTTACAATGTAATGGGAAAGAAAGGCATCTACAGAGACAAAGCCAGGACTAAGATTCATACAAGGAAAGTTGTGTATAAGGGAGGATTCAACCAGATGGCGACTGTGAAAGTTAGACGTGGGGTAGACAGTTTTAGCAGAAGACCAGTCAATAGGATGACTGTGATCCCTGACATGACAGAAAAGAGCATTTTTGGTGTCAGCAAGCCTAACACTACTTTTGTGCTCCCTGAGTCTGTCAGAAAGAGAATGGCCAGTTTCTCCAAAGTGTTGAGGAGGACAAGATGAACAAGAAATAGAGTAGACACCAGGAGAATCTATAGAGAGAGGAGAGGTATGAACTAGATTGGTGCGAAGAGTGTTAGTCTAGCAAAAAGTATGTTTGATGTCTAAGGAACGGAGAGAGCTGCTGAGATTAGAAAGACTGGAAATATAGGGAAGGCAGAGGACAGGAGAGTTCCCAGGAGTAGAGAGTTTGGGAGAGAAGAAAGTCCGTTTAGCACATGAGAAGGCAGAGTCTATGAAATGGGAAGGGTAGCCAAGACGGGAAAATGAATTACGAAGAGTGCAGTTCTGATTCAGTGAACTGAGGGTCACAAATGCAGAGAGCATGGAGAAAGAGGGAGATAAGAACATTTTTTCTTAACAGAAGAAGCATGATAAGAAAAGTAGTGAATGTACATGCCACTGTGCATAGGGTTGCGGTACACGGAAAAGCCAAACCTGTATCTGAATGGCGGACATGAACATCAAGGAAAGACAGCAAGGAATTAGATTTCCATTTAGCTTTAAACTTAATGGAAGGGGTAAGATTATTAAGGGTATCAAGAAATGGTTGAAAGAGACTAAAGCCATGAGGCGAAAGAGCAAAGATGTCATCTACATAGCGGAACCAGAGTGAATAGTAGGAGTCAATAGTAGGAAGAAGAACAGTCTTGAAGTATTCCAGCACAGCAAGAGTAGGAAGAACAGTCTTGAAGTATTCCATGTAAAGATTGGCAAGAACAGGAGATAGAGCAGAGCCCATAGCGACACCGAAAGTTTGAGAATAATATCTGCCTTGGAAGGAAAAGGGATTAGAGTCCACACAAAGGAGGATAAGCTCAAGAAAGACATCAGTAGGTATAGGGAGATGAAGTAGCCCTTCATTGAGGACATTATCAAAAGGGACATTAGTGAAGAGGGAATCGACGTCAAGACTGAGCATCTTACAGGTCAGGAGAGAGCGAACACGCTCAATGAAGTCTTGAGAATGACGAAGGTGGGCAGGAGAAAAAGTATCAAGAAAGGGAGTGAAGGTTTTGGCCAGCCAAGAAGCAAGAGAATAAGAGACATAACCTCTAGAGGATATGATGGGACATAGAAGAATATCAGGTTTATGAGTTTTGGGAAGGCCATAGAAATGGGGCAGAAGAGACAAATGACACGAAAATGTTGAACAAGGTCAAAGTCAGGAGGACAGAGGTCAGAGAGTCCTTAGTTTCTTGTAGAAACTTCTTTGATGTGATCAAGAGGGTTGGAAATGAGAGGAGTGTAGGTGCATCAGTCAGAGAGCAAGACAACAGCTTTACGGAGGTAATCCTCGCAATCAAGGATAACTACCGAATTACCTTTGTCAGAAGAAAGTATGACAGTGTTAGTGTTAGATTTAACCCTTAAACTGTCCAAACATTGATCTACGTTCAAGTGCGTAGTGCTCCGAATGTAGATCTACGTTTTATTTTACATGTTTTCAAATGTAAAAAAAAAAAAAAAAAGATAGATCTACATTCAGAGCGCTACTCACATGAATGTAGATCTACGTTTGGGGAGTTTAAAGTTTAACCCTTTGACTGTTCTGGTCATATATATATACGCCTTACGAGCCAGTGTTTCGGACGTATAGATACTCGATAATTCTAGTGGCTTCAAATCAAGCAGGAGTAAGCTGCTAGGCCCACATGTGAGAAAATGGGTCTGTGTGCACCATATAAAAAAAAAATCCTGCAGCACACAGTGCATGAGAAAAAAAATCCGACCGTTTTTTGGATTAAAATGCCGACTTTGAGGTGTATTTTCGTATAGTATTTATGGCTGTATTCTAGTTTTCATGGTCTCATGTGATAGAATGGAAAACATATTACAGAAAGAGAGATGATTTTGATTAGTTTCACAATGAAAACGACCTTGAAATTGAGCTCAAATTAGCGGAAATGTTCGATTTTTACCAATGTTCAAGAGTACGCAAATCACACCATACTTCCAATACACGTCAACTGGGAAGTCTAATTTTCTTTCACTAGTGCACTGATATTATTTATACCATTTTTACAATAATGCAGTAGTCTGCATAACAGTAACTCTTCTATTTTTTGTATGAATAAAAAATCAAAACAGAAAGCAATAGTAATATAAGAGGGGCCTAGAGACATGACTAATGAACAGAGGATATGTTATTTTAGTGCCAAGAATGTCTACATTGTTTATTCTGGACCCTATTTTGAAATTGGCATCTTTTTTAATTTGCGTTAAATTGGCCAAATTGCCAATTTCTGACCACTTTATTGGGTAGTTCCAATCAGTAAATGGGCAGTTTCTTGTATTCAGTTGATAGAAAAAATGGAGTTCTAAAGAAATAGCTATGAGTTTGGTCAACTGGAACAATGGAATTGGCCAAAAATAAGGCTCCAAGTCGGCGAAATCACCGATGTGTGTATGTCGCCGAGACCGCTAACTTTGCGGGAGTGTAATTCCGTGAGTTTTCGACCAAATTTCGTACTTTTGGTGTCATTACCATTGGGAGAAGATTCTCTATCATTTCATAAGAATTTTTTTTTTTTTTCCAAAAAATTTTCAAAAAATTTTTGACATAGAATGACAGTTTCAGAAAGGGGCTTGCGGCAGTCAAAGGGTTAGGAGAAGAAAGAGCAAGTTGATAGCGGCACGGAAGGTGGTGATTCTTAGAAAACAGACTATCAAGAGCAGGAAGGAGAGTGCCATGAATAGTGGACAAGTCAGGAAGATTACAAGAGCGAGACTGACAAAAAGAATCAAAAGAGCTAATCAGGTCAATACCAGCATAATGGGTAGGTGAAGTGGCAAAGGAAGGTGCATTTCCTTCTTAAATCGCTTGACCAAGAAAAGGCTGTGGGCCCAGACAAGTTGAGCCCAAGATTGCTGAGAAGATGTGCAGACCAGCTAGCAGCACCTCTAACTCGCATCTGCGACTCTCATCTGCGACTGCTTGACAGAGTAGAGAACAGAGCAAGACGTCCCATCTCTCGCCTGGACCCATCCTGGATAGATCTGTCATTTCAGCAGAGCCTTCAACATAGGAGGTATGTGTGTGACCTTACTGTTATGTACAAGGCCAATATTGTCAAAGTACCACACTTGGATCCACTTCGAGGACAGCGTGAAACAAGCTTTTATGCCACAAGACGGACAGAAAGCAGCAACTTCACTCTGGCTGTACCCTTCTCCAGAACATCACTCCATCTGAGATCATATATACTCAGGATGACTCGAGTATGGAACACATTCGTACAGCATAATGATGTCAACGAGATAAAGTCAGTTGATCAAATGAAAATGCTGGCCCACAGATGGCTCCAATTTCATCCTGTTCCCTACTTGTATGTCTCATAACAATAAAAATGCTTTCAAATGAGCTGATGTAGGTAACAGCTCTTAGCTTGCCAATAAAGTTAGGAATCCTTAACCTGTAAATAGCCTGTCAATAAAGCTAGGGATCCTTAACCTTGTCAAACCTGTGTAAAAAAAAAAAAAAAAAAACCCAAGCAGTTCAAGCTCATGCTGAGAGAGTGTGACCAAAGACAAATTAGAAACACAGTCAGTAAGGGAGAATTTAGACCAAGGGCTATTTGAGATTAGACGTTGAAGTTTATTCTGTAGTTTAGAAGAATGAATTTGTGAGTTCAGGTGAGCAGCATCAAGAGCAATGGTAGTGAGAAGGTTACCGAGATCTTGTGGAAGAGAAGCAAAGAGAGCACGTTGATGCTGATGGAGAGTAAAGAAAGCATCTTCAACCTGAGACTTAGTAGAGAGAATGAACTGTTGAAGTGGATGGGCATGGTCCAAGTCAGACCGAAACGTAGTCGTCAGCTCCTCTCTCCTATGTGCGAGTTATTTGTGTATTGTTCCAGTCACGGTATTGTGCCTTTTTGTTATTCACCACATTTAAAACAGTATACTGTAGTTCAACACTAAAAACAGGTTAAAACTATCACAACAAATATGATTGACAATATATACCTTAACAAAGATATTTAGCGACCGGTCATCTGCATTCCAAGCATGTTTAAGGGAAGCTTCTCGGGGTACTGGTGGCATATCCAATAGCAGGTCTAGCCTCTTGGGGCGGGTGTAGTCTGGAGACATCGCCAGCTCTCGGGTGAGGCGAGGCTGTAGTGACCCACCCTCACCCCGACCCACAGACTTCATACCACCTGAAAAAAAAAAATTAAAAACATATATGAACCCTATGAATGTTTGGTTACCAATAAGAGTTGCACAACTAATTTACAAAGATGTCTAATACTGAAATTATTTAGCACCCTGTCTTTGTCATGTGAGCCAATAAAATTACAAGAAAGCAGATAACCATCAATTAACATGCGACCAGTTAACACTTTCATTTTAACACAGTTGCAAAATGGCGGAGTACATGTAGGTGAAAATGTAGATGTTCTCTGAACCAATATCATGGAATCTTGGTTCAGAGGACATCTACATGACCTTCTTCACGGCTACTACAACTACTACTACAAATAGCTCATAACTTTGGGTATGACCTATTTCCACTGGGGAATCCCGCCTACCAGTGACTATGTCCTTGTCTGCTACCCGTCCCTATCCACTGACACTTATATAAGCGCCAGCCTCCTTGCCTGTGCTTCAGAATCTATACAACCACGATGATCTTCAAACCAACTCCAAGGCCGAGGGACTGCTTACCTCATCTTTTGTACGTATATAGTTCTAATGTCTTCTAGTTATGTGGAAAAAGACACTTATGTACAGTTCAGGACATTTATTAAAGGAAACGTTTCCTTTAATAAATGTCCTGAACTGTACATAAGTGTCTTTTTCCACATCTTGTTGGTATCACCATACCATTTCCTCTTCTAGTTATGTCCTAGAATCTGTATTGATAAAGCCACTGGATGGAAAAACGTCTACAATAAAGATATCCAGAAGTTGCACATGTGTCTTAACTTTCATATTTTGTGATGGCCTAGATAATGTACACATCAGTGCCCTGTTTGTATGATTCCAATACCATTATCTGCCTATGTTAGTGAATAGATTTTATCTTTTCATCATTCTACCCCGTCTTTGGACAGTAATTTTGGTGTTTTGATGAAAATCAAGATATCATGTCTTGGAGACAGAATGAGATTATGGTAGAATGAGGTATTGATTCACATAATTAGGAAGAATGAGGCAGAGATATAAGCTTCTGCAAGGAGTAACCCAGGGTGTGATCTGATAAGAATAATAAATAAGCCACAACAGCTAAGAAAAAGTTACCTAGCTAGTGGAATGAGAAAAACTAAGGAAGATGCAAAAATTAATTTCATCTTAATAAGGAAAAAGCCTTAGGGTTCTACAAAACTGTGTGTGATAAGATATAAGATTTGTTTGGATTTTTAATTTGGAGGATTAGCCACCCAGGGTAACCAAAGAAAGTATGTGCATCATCAAGGATTGTCTGTCTTATTTCCATTGGGGTCCTTCAATCTTGTCCCTAGGATGCAACCACACCAGTTGACTACTATTACTGCTAGGTGAACAGGGACAGCAGGTGTAAGGAAACATGCTCAACATTTCCACCTGTGTCAAGGATGGAACCATGGACACAGTGTGTGCGAGGCAAGAGCATTGCCAACCAAGGAAGGATTGAACAAGAATGCTTGTTTAGGACAAGCTAGTTCCCTAAGTTCAATTTGTGCAGTCAGCTGCATATTACATTTTCTGGTGAATGTGCTACTCCTGACTACATTGTTGAATAACAGGAAATTATTTTTAAGGGTAGATATAGGCCATAGAAAGTGTTTAATGCTGATGAAGCAAGTCTTTATTGTAAAATGACAGCAAAAGAAAAATGCACTGGAATTCAAGGCAGAAAAGGATCACTGCAGCTTGCATCAGGCAATTATAAAGTGCAAATTCAAGCATATATTGCACTCCAAGATTCAAACCAGTCAGCATGAATGACAGAGGTTATACGTATTTTAATAGGTTATATTTTAATAGGAAAATAGAGTAATTATTTTATTTTTGGGTGAGTATGAATTTAAAATGGAAGGCAAGTGTAATATAGGAGAGGCCTGGTAGCATGATTACTGAACAAAGGAAGTTTTTTTTTTTTGTGTCAGAAATATCTACAGTGTTTATTTTGTACTACTATCAAATTTATATTTTTTTAATTTTGTGTAAAATTGGCCAAATTACTGACTTCTGTGCACTTTACAGGGTTATTGTAATAGATGAATGAACAATGTCTTGGGTTCAATTGACTGAATGGTCAAATGGGGCAATGTTATTGACTAAAACTGGACTCAAAATGGGTAAAATTGACAACAAAATCTGCTGGGTTGATAGATTTGGAAATAATGGACAAAGTCCTTTAGTTGCAGAACTGTTCATTGTTACAATTATGCTAAAATAATCTTTGCTCTATCCACTACAACTGTCATTACTGGCCACCCACTTCCCCAGTTAGCCCATTAAATAAATAACACGACTAAAAAAATTCCCCATCATTGATTCAATAACTATCTTGCCAAAAGTGCACAGATTTTTCAACTTCAAATGATCCTCTAAATTGCCACATTCCCACCCACCTTCAGAATGCAGTCACTGTATGTCTAACCTCCAGGGGGTTGGACATCGTATAATCTGTGCACTTTTGACAAGAGAGCTATTGAATCAATGATGGTTTTTTTTTTTTTTTGCCTGTTTTAATGAAACTCCTGATGAGTAAAAAAAAAAAAAACCCATAAACCCATTACAGTATTATACATTTCATTTTGTTCATATCTACTTTATCAATCCCTCTTGAGTACTTTGCATGTCCAGCTAACCAGTTTCCTTGAATCCTCTTCATAAATGTTTCACTGCTCACACTCCAACAGCACATTAAATCCTAAAAACAACTAATTTTCAAGCAAAACAATCAACAAATTCAAATATGTCCCTCTAGTTAAAAGCCTCCTTCATACTCTCCCTCCAATTCTTAAGGGTGTGAGGGATAGATGTCAAGTATAAAAATTGACATGAAACATTAGTACGTTAGAAAATTACATCCAGTCTTACAATGGCAATAAACCCTTTAAACGTAGTTTCACGTACATACAAAAATACGAGTAAAAGGGGCATGGTTGTAAAACTTTCATTCTGCAGCATTCTGTATTTACCTCTTAAAGACACTTATTCTCTAAATTGGAATGATACTGCTATACACTAACAGCATCCCATAAGGCAAGCAAAACTCCATATCTAGGGAATGTACAGAATCTCCATGGCACATAAAAATTCAGTCAAGAACCTAAATTACTGGAAACATTTGAAGTCTTGTACTCCTTGGAACAAAGGCAGGAAAGATAGTACTTTGTAATTTGCAACTGGAAAATTCTAGTAGCATTGGTCCCAAACCTGCACACACAAATTACTCCCTACAAAAGCAAGAACTTCAGCAGATGTCAAATACCCCAATTAAAAGCAGGGATGCCATGAGTACACTGTAAGTGTAAAGAGCCCAAGACTATTTATTCAACAGCCTCCACAAAAAATAAGGGAAATTACCAAGAGACCACTTGCTGCCTTCAAGAGGTGACTGGATTAGTTTCTAAAGTTGGTTCCTGATTAGCTGAGCTGTGGCTTGTACACTGGATTCCATGAGGCCAGCAATGACAGCCTGGTTGATCAGACCCTGATCCACCAGGTCTGGGATTGTGCCATGGGGGGTGATGACCCTTGGAACACACTCCAGGTACCACTTTGGGCCTGTATATTGTATCCCTAAATGCATGGCACAGTTCTGCCACCTAGCTTTGGGACAGATGAATGACTTTGGCCAGGTTTCCCCATCACTTATGCCTAGGTGCCTTTACTGTTTATCTTTATAGTGGATATGGATAAAAACGCTTGCCACAGTTTTGTATCTTCCTTCGAGAACGATATTAAAAATAAACAAGAAAGTCACTTCATAAAAACTGAAGGACAATATAAGCAAAGCATTCCAGTGGGCAGTGAAGAATAATGTGGCATTCAATGGAAACAAGCTCCAACTGCTTAGGTGTGGAAAGAATGAAGAATTCAAATAGGACAGTGTAACAAAATGCATGAGGATTACCAGATAGAAGAGAAAGAATGTGTAAAGGACCTGAGGGTAATGTCAGCTGTTTTTTTTTTTTTTTTTTTTTTTTTGTTTTTTTTGTTGTGTGTGTGTGTGTGTGTGTGTGTGTGTGTGTGTGTGTGTGTGTGTGTGTGTGTGTGTGTGTGTGTGTGTGTGTGTGTAGGTACCACCTCTAAAACTGGACTGGGGACCCTCATCCTCAGAGAAGAGAATAAACGTACCTCAGGGAAAACTCAAACAGAGCTGTTTGAATATTTTCTTCTCCTACCACCCCTATATTCTATATTCTATGTGAACTTCAATAACAGACAGAATACACTGACAGGACACACAAACATAAATACACTGGTACAATATGTCAAAGATTGTGAATCTCCAGCTCCTCCAAAGTTGGAAGCGAGCCCATTATGCAACATGCATTTCCCCTCTGGATGGCCACGCTGAGGCGCTGGAACATGAAAGTGGCTGCCCTTGGGTCCCTGGTGGTGTCAATGAGTCTGGATCCCAGTTCTTTAAGGAAATGTGTGACATTTTTTCCCTGTGATACCAAGGTCTCAGATCCCAATGGGACAAATTGATACTGTTGCCTTATGTCCCTGTACTTGCCAATCTTGTACTCCTCCCTGGGATCAGCAGCTCCTCCCTGTCACCTGACACTGTGATGGAGTAGGTGTCAGCCAGTGTGGACACACAGGTATAGTCTCAAGCTAAGAGCTTGCCATTCTTCCAAGGACAGATGATCCCATTGGGAAGGCTGCCTGGGTTGTGGGTACTATTGGCTCCTTGTGATTGGGACTCTCTTGGCTGGGCATCCAGCTGTAGCTGGACTTCATTGTGCCTTGCATGCCAGCCCTTGGTTTTGGAACAGTTAAGACCGTGTAGACCATATTGGTCGACTCGCACATCGGCGCAAATAAACGTATATTCCATGTGAATTAGGGCAGCAAGGCGGAAAGCCACTGCAATACAGAGGGTTTTAGGGTCATAGCGTATTCCCTTTGCCGAAATGGGAACGGTTTGGAGGTAGACCCCAGAGTAATGTGCACTCACAGCTTGGAGACAGGCAGTCTCCCTGTCTGATGTTAC